TGGGGGGATTTGGGGAGAAAAAGCAGAAAGAAAAAAAAAAAAGATTGGCAACAGTTGTCAGCTCAGGTGCCAATCTTAAAAATAAATAAATAAATAAATAAATAAATAAATAAATAAATAAAGACTAAAAGGAATGTCTGTGGGGGTAGAAGGAAAACCCAGAGAATGTGTTAGCCTAGGAAAGAAACATATTCAGGAAGGAAAGAATTAAATGCTTGAAGAACTGAGAGGTCAGGTAAGGTGAGGCCTGAAAATAGTCCTTTAGTGACATAAAAGTCACTGGTGACCTTGGCAAGCCACATGGAGGCTGATGCCAGCTAGGAGCAGGTGAGGAGAGATTGGCAGGTGAGGACGTGTGACAAGAAAGGGGAAAAGACAGCGAAGTCTCTCAGGGTACATGTGGTCCAGGGCATCCATTTGTTTGCTTGTTTTGGGTGAGCCCCTAGGGTTTGTTTGCCTGCTGTGGTGAAAGGTCCAGCAGAATGGGGAGATGGAAGGAGATGAGAAGAGCCCATGAAGTACCTTGGTGGTGCAGGTGGTAGCAGGTGGGCCAGAGCAAACGCTGAGGCCAAGGCCCGGGTGGGAGGAAGGCCACGTTCTCCAGGGCTCCAGAGGCGAGGTGCACGTTGCAGATGCTGAAGATGAAGGTGGGAGCATCGACCTGGAGGCAGGAGAAGGAGGTCTCTCCTGTCTGACCCTTTCTCTCTTCTCAGTTCTAAGGTAGGAGGTGACGTCATCTGCTGAGACTGGAAGGGGACAGGGGGCCCAGATGGTTGGGGAGAAGAGAAATGGAGGACAGTAGAGCAAGTGTGGCTTCAGGAGGCCGTCCAGGTGGGGAGGGACGATGGGAGCAAAGCCTTGGTCTGCCTGATGATGTGGTGCCCTTTGTGTCTTCTGCTGAGCTCCACTGCCACCAGGCAAAGCTGGCGGGGCGGGGAGGGGGGGAGGGCTGTTCCCCTATCATTGTTCCAGCTTGTTCTTGCTCACACAGCCTTTCCCTTCTTGTTCATAGTGTAGCTAAGACAGGTTGGAACACAAAGGCCACACAAATGCCGAGTACCAGATCGCACACATTTACAATAATTAGCCCCAAATTCTGATGCTGATTCTCTTCTTCAGGATCTCCCTCTCCAAAAAGTTGTGAGACCTTCTAGGAGTGTTTACACGTGTGACCCAAGTATCCCCTGAACACCACTAGATTTTGAGTTCTGGATAAGTCATTTTCCCTCTGCCCATCCCAGGGCTGGGAAGCGGTGTTGATAGGCTAGGGGTGTAGATTCCTCCCATATAATCAGAGCTGCTGCCCAGTGCTCTTGCCATCTTGTCATCCATTCCATGCATGTGTTGCTGCCAACGCCACCACGCTGCCGATTCTAGCTGCTCTCGTCCTTTTCAGCTGGCAGGGACATACCTTTTGCTTCTAGTGAGCAGCTCTTTCAGAGGGGCTCCAATAGCAAAGCCGTAGGGCCCTTAGTGACCCAGTTCCTCACGTGCACCATGCCCTCTTCTTCTCTGAGCGCTAGTCAGGAGCAGGTCAGGCCCAGCTCTGTGCCGTACCTCTAACTACGGCTCCTCCAAACTCCAGGCCTGGCTGCTCAGTCAGTCCCCCGTGAGGCTTTCCTCTCAGGAACCTCACTGTGTCTCCAGCATGGCCCTTGATGGGGACCTCAGTCCTTATGGCAGGTCTGTCCACGTCTGAATCTCAGACTGAGCTCAGCATCTTTCACCAGCACTTAGGGCCCATAAAAAATCAGAGATGGGGCTGGGCATCTGTTTCAGTATCCCTGACACTCCTGGTTAAGCTCTCTGAATTTTCCCTTTCTCTTTGAAAACCAGGAGATTGGTCTTTTAATAGCTCACACAGGCCCTTGGTGCAAGCGCAGGTGGGGGCCGGGGAGGCTAGGTGCTCACCCATCAGGCTGACCTCTCTGAGTGTGAACTCCAGCCAGGCAGAGACAGCTACATGGTGCCATTGTATGAGCAAAAGATGCCCTCTCTGGATGGGCACAGCCCATGGCAGGCATAAGTCTTGGAGAGCAGAGAGAGGGCAGAATCTCAGCTCCTCTTGCTCCCTTGGCCGGATGCCTTAGTGCAGGGAACCAATCTAGCCACCAATCTAGGCAATGGCCATGCCTAGCTACCCAGAGAACTAAACAGCATGGAGATCCAAATATTGGGCCCCCAGAGGAAGCATGCGCCTGGGTTCTGGTCCCATGCCATCTGAGATCCTAGGGAAAAAAGATGGGGCCCAAGGGTCTCCTTCTGAGCCTTGCTTCTTGAATCTAAATCCCGCCCCTGCCTCTGCAGCTCCCATTTTCTCCAGTGACCCAGTGTATACTCTTGATACCGTATCCGTCCTTCTGCTCCAGAGGAAAGCTGAAATCATGCCCTCATGGGCTGATCTTATCCCTCAGGCCTCAATGGAATAACCCTCACTGCCACCCAGCCTTCACACAGAGACCCCCACTTACAGGAACATAGGGGAGCTATTTCCTTAGAGGACTTTGAGAGGAGCAAGGGCTTTCTAAGCAGAGGGATGCCACGAGAAGAGTCATTGGAGCAGGACCCTTCGGGATGCACTCAATCACAGTAAAGCAGTCCAGAGGGGCCGGAGTGTAAGATTGTTGTTGGAGATCACTAGATGTCAGTGGAGTTGAAGTGAGGCTTAGTGGTGGTTGCAGAGGCTTCCCTGGATCTCTCGAAGGGCCTGAAGTGAAAGGATAAGTAGTTAGGCTTTGTCTTACGGACAACGGGGAGCCGTGGAAGATTTTTGAGCAAGAGAGTGGCAGGGTCAGATCTTAGCACCAGGAAGATGACTCTAGTGGCTTGTGCAGGATGGTGAGGAGGGTTTGCCAACCCCAGGTGTGGCACGGCTGTGCTCCGTGCTAGTGGGGAATTGAGAGCAGCAGATTTAGGAGAGCATTCTGAAGAGCAACTCTGAATAGCCCCCTTTTCTTCACTGAATTGAATATAACTCATTCAGTCATTTCACAAACTTTTCTAGATACTGTGTGGGTCCGCATGCAAGGATGGAGGAGGGCAGGAGGAATCAGGAGGAGCCTCCCCCCACCCCCCGCAGGCCCCCAGCCTTCTCTCCACCCCTTAATCAGAATGTGTTTTGATAACTGGGGGCTTGGGGACAGTATAAGGGTGACAAACTGCGCCTCCTCCACCAATTAAATTTTTTAAAAAGCTGCTATGGAAGGAGCGAATATTAGTTTCCTGATTTATAAAGCCAAATGGATTAAGCTCATTCATCGCCCAAGGAAACAAAAAGGAAATCTTCAATACCTCTGTGCACATTGAGAACAGGAACAATACCGGTCTTTAGAAAGCAGAAACCTAATTTGGGGGAATCAATTACCCTCTGTGTCCCTGCCTCGGCGGGCTCTCTCACTCGGCTCTCTCAATAGAGATTTCCTGGGAGGTAAAATGTGGAGAAGTTGGTCAACCATAGGCACACCCTGCGTTCAGCCTTGCAGACAGGAGGGAAGCACTAGGGTAGGGTGGGTGGGGCTGGGAGGGGGTGTGCCTCGGTGTCAGGCGCTCGTGGAAGTGAGATGCGGGGCAGGGACCACGGAGGGCTTTGGAATAAAAGCGGGGGGGGGGGGGGGGGTGGGGGTGGGGGTGCAGTGCTGGGTTGGGCCAAGGAAGGGGCAATGGGAACTAGAGTCTATAACTCGGGGTGGGGGGGGGGTGGGGGGGGGAGCAGAGCCCAGCCAGTGCACAAACAGGTGATGGGAGGAGGGGGTTACTGTGCCCCAGCCTGGCTCCAGTGTCACCCACCGCCTCCTGTTCCTCTCTGGTTTCTCTTCTGTGGTCTGCACTTTCCCCCTGGGTTTGAGCGTGTAGGGGACAATGGCGGGGCAATTATGGAAAAAGAAAGGGGATGGGAGCGACTGCTGCAGTAGCCAGGGAATCACGCTCAGAGTCACCCACAGACGCTCTCGCACAACCTCACACATTCCTGTGCTGGGTTTCAAACCCTGGCCCACAGTCCCTAGACCCAGGACCACACCCAGCCCGATGCACTCATTTAGTCCCTCAGTCCCACACTCAGAGCGGCGGGGTCACAGACTCAAAACGACACGCCCCCACACTCCCACCCGCAGTCACACACATTCGGCCGCCCCCAGCCTCGTCTTAAGCTCTCACAGTGGCTCAGCGACCCACGCAGCCCTCACCCTGGCATGCGGACACACACACACACGCGCGCGCGCGCGCACACACACACACCCGAGTCCCTCACACGCACACTCTCTGGCTGTGCTTTTGTGTTTTGTCAGAATTAATGAGAAAAGTTCCCGTGCCCTGCGGGTAATTAGTGTCCTTGGAGTTAAATAAGCTAATGGCGGGCACCTCTGGCCCAAGCAATTATGTTTGTGTATTGAATAATTGATTCAAAGGGGGGAAGGGCCGCTAATCAGATCTGAGCATAATGAATTGATTTAATTAACAGGGGAATCTGAGGGGCCCTGGGAAACGCAGGCTGCACTCGGCGGCGGCGGCGAGCACGGCCCGCGCGGAGTGCACGGCGCGCGGCGGCGGCGGCGGCGGCGGCGGCTCCGGCTCCGGCCCGGCCCGGGCAGCGGCGGCTCGCGCGGCTCGGCGATTCCGGCCCCGGGCGCGCCCGCCCTCCCTCCCGCGCTCCCTGCCCGCGGGCCTGAGCTCCGGCGCCCGTCCTGCCGTCCGCCCCGGTCCGCGCCGCCGCTCTCGGGGCGCGCAGCCCACGCGGGGCCGGCCGGAACAGCGCAGGCGGGCGGCGGCGGAGTCGGAGCCGCGCGCCCCTCCGCGTCCTCGGCCCGGGCCGGGCTGGAGCCGCCGGGGGACCATGGTGCTGGACCAGGAGGACGGTAGGTGCCGGGGCCGCGGGGAGCGGGGGGCGCACGGCAGGGGCGGCGGCGGCGGCGCGGGCCCTGCCGAGGCCACCCCGCTCGCGGCGGCAGCGCCCCCCGCGCCGGCCCGGCCGCCTTCCCAGAAGCGCGGGGGCTGGGTGTCCGCGCGGGCGTGGGTGTCGGGGTGCCAGGCTCAGCCCCCAAGGTTCCTCGGCGGGATTAGAAAGTCACACCGGCCACCCCGAGCCCGCCAGCCCCGCACGCTCCTGCCGGGAACTTTCTCACAGGCGCTCGCCGCCTCGCAGGCGTAGGGAGCGCTGCTCCGACCCGCGCCCCGGCTTCCCCGCGGTGCCCCCTGCTCCCCATCTCCTGGGTGTCTGCGCGTCCCCCTTTCTGCACCCGACTGCGGAACCACTCCTCCAGGGGATGCCCAGAGAACCTGGGGGTGAGGGTGCAGACAAACAAGCATGGTCCTGGGGGCCCTCAGATCTGGAAGTTCATAGCTGCCAGATGGGTGACACTGCTTCACCCCTGGCAGGGCTGGGGAGGGCGCTCGCCATCAGTTCCCCCAGCCCAGCCCAGCCTGTCGGGAGGTGCCCCACTGGCTGGGGTGGGTGGATGGGTCATATATCTAAAATATCAGGGGCGGATTTACCTTGAAGCTAATGAAGTTTAAGCTTCAGAGTCCTTCAGTGTTAATTTTGTATTAGTTAGTAATCTTGTGTTCCCTTTCTTAAAGAGACCCCCCCCCCCCAATTGCATAAGTCAGCTTGGCTCTCACAAAATGTGGACCCACCCCTGGGGCCAACTCACACCCTTCCCATTCTAACTGCCAGTCTCTCAGGAGAACTCACAGCCCTGCTGGCCCATGGGCCGTCCCCAGGGCCTAGTGCAGATCCCTGGTGCCTGGGAGATGAGCCCTGAGGCAGGAGGCTGGGAAATTTGGAGCTGGGAGGCAGCTGCTGGTCTGCAGGGAAGGGTCTGGCTGCCTCTTCTTTCTCTCTCTGGCCCCTAGCTCCTTGTCCCACCCCACCACCTCCCACTATGGTGATCAACTGTCCTGGTTTGCACAGGACCACCTGGTTTTAGCACCGAAAATCCTGCATCCTGGGAAATCCCTCAGTCACAGGGCAGACCAGGACAGTTGGTCAGCCTACACCCACAACCTTCTCAGGCTGTTATGCGGGGTGGGTTGGCCTTCATCAAAGGGATGGGGGAAACTTGTTTTCTGGGGTGCAGATATGGCCTAGGCCTCCGCAAAGCCTAACAAATGGTCACTGCAGCTTCCTGGAAGTCTGTTCAGGGCTCCCAGAACCCAAAGAGGAAAAGTTTGCCGACTGTGCCTTCTCCACTCTAGCTGGTTGCAAATTCCTGTGTGTGGGCTGTGTTTGTGTGAGAAAGGGGCCGGGTAGGGCATCTGAACTTGGCCAGCAGGTACCCTGATTGGACTGCAAAGTCTGTAGGTTCACTCTGTCCTGTCAACTGTGGTGGCCACAGGAAAGGAGCCCTTGTCACTCTGAACACCTCTCTGAGTGTCACCAGTGAGGCCAGCTTGTAACCCCGTTTTGGAGACAGCTGCATTGTGTTGGGAGCAGGGCCCTCGGGCTGAGGCACGTCTGATGGCCTCCTCGCAAGAGTTCTGGAATATCTGGTCTACCCAGGCCCTCGGGCACCGAGTCTGCCCCCCCAACCCCAATGCAAGAACCCTTCCTCAGGACTTTCCTGCCAGGTGCAGCGACAAGCTGCTAGGACCTGCCCAAAACTTTGTAAAGCAGCCAGGAGCACCCTCTATCTCACCGTAACCTTAGGGGCTCATCAACTGGCCTCCGTCTGCCGTCCCCAGAGGCGTTTCAAGGGCATTTGGGAGCACTCTTGGCAGTGTCAAAGTGATAGTACAGGCTCATCACTTGTGGAATGTGTTGGGTGCACACTACCTCCCCCAGCCCCAGGACATCTGAGGATTCCACCCTGGTGTTGTGGGCCTGCCCCTGGGCCTAGAGGCAGCTTGGGTGGGAGTGAGCATGGGCCCGGGACTTACCTGCCTGCCCAGCTATTACCCAGGACCTGAGAGGGAGGCCGCTGATGAGAGGCTCATGTCTGGCTCTGTCAACCCAGCAGGCCCCTTCCTGGCTGGGAGCTCAAGTCACCCAAACCCTCCAAGGTTTGCTGGGTGGCTCCGTAAGCCAGAAGGCCTCCATGGAGGCCCTTCTCCAGACCAACATAGGAGCTCAAAGCTCACAACTGGGGGTGCAGAGAGAGCCGCCTGTGGACGCAAGCAGCCCTTCACACACAGCGCCAGTCCTCTGCTGACATGCCTGCGTCACTTCTGCAGCCCCTTCCTCAGCACCCCAGGCCCACTGTAGTCCCTGGGTTGGGGCCCCTGATTCCCCAAAGGGATGCCAGTGGTGTGGCTGCTAATTGGATACCTAGGAGGCTGCGGAGAGCTGGTGTTGGGACAAAGAGTCCCAAGTACCACACATAGATAAGAGAGTAGGAAAGTGGTCCCAGCTAGTCAGTCCTGATTTGTGGGTCAGGGCCAGACCTGGAGGTGAGGAGGAGCAGCCTGCAGGTCAGGAGCAAAAGTGCAGCCCTTGAGGAGTGAATGCCTCCGGGTAGCACCAAGGTGTCTGCAGCAAGAAGCTACCCCTTGCCAGCCTGTCAGGCCCGCTGCTTGCTACACTGTCTGGCCCCCAGCTCAGGCTGGGGGGAGGGGCTAAATGTGCCAGTGGCAGCAGTGCCAAAGGCTCCCGGGACCCTCAGGGTATGGCTCTGGCTGCAGTGGCAGGGGAGAGATCAAGCTCACAGTCCTGAGGGCTGATGATTCTGACCAAAATGATATCTTTAACATCAAATATACTCAAGGACTATTAGGATTAAGTATTCAAGATGAAGGGGAAAGCGAAACCCTCTGAGCTGCAGATGAGGCATCTCATTAGAGGCAGCCTCTCTTCTGTTTTCTCAAAGGCTGACTTCCCTGCCTGGGACAGAGGAAGATGGGCTGCAGCACCCTCCCCCATGCCCCACTCTCTTCAAGTACCCTGCACTGGGGTCTCCAGGGCTTAAGGGGCCTGGCCTGGGCTCCAGGTCTCCTTTGTACCCAATAACCCCCCCCCCATTATCTACATTCACATGCGTTATCTCATCTGATCCCCACAACAAGGTCTCCCACCTCACAAACAGGGAAACTGAGGTCCAGAGAGAGAAATTGACTTCTAAGGTCCACTGTTGGTAATAGGCATAGTTGGGATGAAATCCCAACTGGTGTTCCTTTGGCCTCAGCTTCAGCTTCCTTCTCCCTGCTTGGGTCTAGTCCTCAGAAGTGATTGCCAGTGTTGAGCCTCTGACACGTCTGTCTGGAGCCCTCCTTGGACCAGAGAAAAGCCATTAAGATTTCCATCACATCCTGGAACTCTGTACTGTCAAGACAAAAAGCTCTTGGTATTTGAGTGGGCTTCCTGGACTAGGCAGACGAGGCTCCAGCCCTAGGGCTCTGGAGAGAAGCAGGGTTCAAGAGGAGAGGAGATGGACACTGTCTCCCTTCCTGCCTCCAGATTCACAGAGCAAGAATTATCAACTCTGTAATAGCAGGAATCTTTGTTTGGTTCACTGCTGAATCCCCAGTGCCTTAGAATAGTGCTTGTTGCATAATACGTGCTCAGTAAATAGTTGCGGAATGAGAAAAGTCTTCGAGGCCATGCTGTGCTTGCTCAGAGAGAAGCTGAGACAGGATCCCACTCCCTATGGAATCGGGATGCTCTTGGGAGACTGCAGGGGTCAGGGTGGTGGTATAAGACTCACGGTGGGAGAGGTGGTGCCCTGCAGAGGGTTAACTTTGCCAAACAATCCAGGAAGTAACCAGAAACCCCGAGGAAGAGCAGGTAGGAAGGGAGGGTACAAAGTCAGAGAAAGATCACCCAAGTGGGAGCGGGCCAGAAATCAAGGCAGAAGGGCTGGAAGTGACAGGCAGGGGTAGTCCACCAGTCAAATAACCAGGATGAGAACCCTGGGTCCTGAGCGGAGCCACACTCCGAGCTGGGGCCGAGAGGCCTCCAGGTGGCGCTGCAGAGCCGAGCAGCCGCGAGTTTCCACTCCCCATTAACCCGGGAGGGAGGGGGGCCTCGGGAAATGTGTGCATTTATTCAGTAGCAGGAGTGCAAACCTCATACATTGAGGGAGAAAGGCAGCGGGAGACGGCCGCCGAGATTCCCCCATCTCTTTGAATATAATTTTAGATTGAGATTCAGATTAAATCCGAGGGGAAAACACTTTATGAGGCTGAAAGCTGTGTCGTTGCCAGAGCCAGGGTTATGAGCTATCAAATGCAATTACATTAAGACAGATTATACTGGGCAAATTGAGCCATTTAGAAGGTGAGAATCAAAGAAACGGCTCTGATCCTCTCTTCCCCCTGCTATCTCCCTCTCTCTCTCTCTCTAAATTGCAGTTCGTAGTTCCTTGCAATCCTGAGGCACAAAAGTAGGTGAGACTGCTTTTGTATCTGCGAAGTGCTTCACTCCTGAATGTAATTCTAGCTGAGTGCAATCTAGGTTAAGAGCCGGACAAGCGGGTAATTAGAGCCTGCTCGCTGCCAGAGGACCGGCCGCCCCGCCGAAGCGCGCCCGGAGTCGGCGCCCTTCTCCCGGCCGAGTCAAGCTGCGGCTGGACACGGAGCGCCCGAGATGATGGTGCTGGACAAGGAGGACGGTAGGTGGCGGGCGGGGGTCCCGACGCCCCGCACCCCCTCGCCCCCCGCCGCGGCGCGCGGGAACACACACGCCGGGACTCAGGCGCACACACGCCGGGCTGTGCTGGGCTTGCCAGGCGGGCGGCACGCAGGGGGCTGGGGCCGGGGCGAGGGGTTGGAGAGGTGAGTGAGCCCCTGGGACCGGACCGCGGGCCGGCGAACCGTGTGCCAGCCGTGTGATGCTCTGCCGGCCTGCGTGGAGGCTCTGGCCCCCTCCGATCTCGGCGCAGCGGCGGTTAGCGTAGAGCGTTTCGTCTTTGCGGCTGCTCCTCTCACCGCAGCCATCACTCGCGCCGGCCACGTAACCAGAGAGGCGCTGAACGCCGAGCAAATCAGTGGCTTCGGGAGAATCGGACTCCAGAGCTTGCGGCGAGCGGGCGCGCGGGAAGACAGCACTCGCCCGGGGTGCCCGGCAGGCGAGGGGAAGGCCGGCTGGACCGGGAGGCAGCTGTCTGCAAGCGTGACTCGGTGAGAGAGAGAGACGCCTCCTGTGCTGGCCCGCTGTCTCCCTGTCTCCTGGGCACGGAGGCGGGAGTTTGGCCCAGAGGAAGAAAGTGGCTCTCTACCAGCCAGTGGCACTCGTGCGGAGCGGCCCGCGACAGTGACATGAACCTGCCGTGGTCAAGAGTCTCAGTGCGCCTCAGAGGTCAGAACAGAGGGGCCCATGCTTGCTGGGGGCCACTAGCAAGTGGTCTCACATGCCCCCAAGGCTTCCTGCCTGGGAGTGCCCTGCCCTAAGTGCCCTGGTATGTGCAGGAGGGTGTGCGCGGACCTTTAAGGGTAAAACCAAGCCGGTGCCAGGTGACCAGAGAGCAGCCCCCAGGGTTAAGACAGTGGCCATTCCCTGGCTGTCCCAGGCCCTCCTGACTTGTAGGTAAGCGTTGCCTGGCTTGTTAGAGTTGTAGAGACATGTGTTTGTAATTTTTGGCACCTGTACTGCCACTTGCGACCCACTGATAAGGAACCGAGAAGGTGGGTTTTCTGTGACTCAGTGGGAATCCTCTTAGCATGACTGTAGTGGCCATCCTTTGACATGCTACTAGTGTGTTTCTGCTGGGCCTGTGCCCTCTGCCCACCAGGTCGGTGGTGTTCTTGACATCGTCACTTGGTGAAAATTTGAAGTTAAGTGACTTGCTCAAGGTCACACCGGATGTTCACTTTGCTGCTCCCACGTGCTGATGCCCCTGACCTCCCCACCACTGTCTGAGACTTCCAGCAGGCAGGGGCACTTAAAGTGTGTGGCCTGGGGGTGGCATGTAGGGGAGCCCTGTGGCGGGCAGCCCTTGAAGGCCGTTTCTCGGCATGTGTGTAGTAAGAGAGGAAGGGGCACTGAATGCTTCTGGGCAAAAGAATCCATTTGCCAGGGTCTGGCTGGGCTGTGAGACCCGTCCTCAGTACATTCTTTTCTCTTCATGGACCCCTCCCCTGAAGCCCTGTACGGGCCGTCGGAGGACTGGGCTGGTGCAGGTGTATATGGAATGAAACGGGGAAGAGATCTGGGGTCCAGCCATACAAGGAGGGAGGAGGCCTTGATTCCACTTCTTGCCTCACTAACTCCCTGTGTTATCTCGGACCAGTCACGGCCATCTCTAGACTTTATTTTCCCTCTCGGTAAAATGAGGGGCTTGGAGAAACCAGTGCAGAGGGCCCTTGCTTGGTGTCTGGCGTGCTCTCACTATGGGGAGCACGTGGAAATCAGGGTATGTCTGTAGCTGAGGTTATTTGGTATGCTTGGCTTGCCGTGCCCAAGCCAGAATCCAGAAGACCCAGGCGCTGTACGTGGGAGGCCTCAGGCAGGGAGACTGGTGTCATGCTGACAAGATGACCCATAACTACCACCTAGGGTCTTGGGGCTAGTGCTCCGTGCAGGCACCCCAGAGTGCCTCGGCTTCTTTCACGTGCACCCTGAATGGGAATGGATCTCTGGAGGTCATTTGAGCCAGTCTCCTGCCTCCAGCCTCCAGTGTAGCTCAACTGCCCTGGGCATGTGTGTTTCCCCTCATCTCCAGCAGACCTGCAGAGGAGAGCTCATGGTGACCGTCAGTCCCCCACCCTGTCCAGTCTAAACAATATGGTGCCTACTACCGCTGATGTCGCTGAGCTCTGGGACTCGTGACAGCACAAGGAATGTAGCTGGCTGGGGCCCTAAGGAGCCCATTGGACTCTTGTCCTATCCAGCCTAGAGCTGTCCTCCAAAAACAACCTTTCTGTTCGTAAATCCACTCTCCACTCCCCATTAGAGTCTGGCCTATCCTGGTTCTAGGAAACCTTGAAGGTGGCACCTTCCGCTGGAGGAGGTAGAAAGGCTCTGGACCCGCTCACCTGTCCCTCCAAACCAGCTGCCTAGTTTGTTCCTAGCACTTATGCCCTCCTGCAGGTGGTGATCTGAGCTGGGTGGCAGCATTGACCCCCAGGGCCCCCAAGGAGTGTGTCCCTCAGGGCTATGGCACTGCACCCTTTGTCTGGCTGCAGCAGGGACCTGGGCTCCTATTAACCACCCCCAACGCCTTTTCTGCACCTGACAGCATCTTATTGGAAGAGGCTGGCGCTCTTCTGGTGGAAGTCGGGTCTGCTGGCCGCCAAGGACCAAAGCTCTTGCTCTGCTGGGCTGCAGGGCTTTCATGTTGCTCTTCTGAAAGATAATAAAATATCAATCGCTTTGCCGTAGCAACGGGTTTAAGAGACTTTCTGAAGTATTGAATCGTCAGAAAATTTTTTTTTTTTTTTTTGCTTTTAAGCACAGTGCATTATTAATAAAGTAATCCATTAGGTCGAGCAGTGAAGGGCCACCACAGAGAGGAAAGATCTGTTTTGCAAACAGTTAAACTTCGGGTTTTAAGATTAATTGCTTTCATTTGGACGCTTGCTCTTGGCCTAGCCTTCTCCACTTTACTGGAACTCAGGGTCCGGGCTTTCTAAATGCCGTCGGGCCTGCCTGTCAGCAAAGGGAGCCCAGCTCCCACTTTCCCTGAGGAACGGCCCTTCTTCCGCTGGCACGTCCACTTGGGCTGGCACTAGGCTGTGGCCTTTCCGGGGAGGTGTGTAGTCCCCAGGGAGCAAAGGGAGCTCCTGCCCTGAGCCCTGAGAGTCAAATTAGCCCTCAGGCTGTTGGAGAAGAGCCCCCAAGCAGGGGCAGACAGCAGAGGGTCCAGCAGCCCCAAGAACAGTGAGAACCTTGGGTTGTGACGGACCGAGCAGGAGAGGATGCTGAGGGCACTCCTTTGGGGGTGCCTGGGTGTCCCCAGATGCATGCTGGAAAAGGGCATGTCTGAGCATAAGCTGCCTCTGCAAAGGCCCAGCAGGAAGGCTGGGGTGACACAGGAAGCAGCAGGCAGGTTGTAGAACTAAACGCCAGACATGATTCCTGGAGCATTTTTAATAAGTAAAAATGCCTAAGGAGAGTGGAGCTGGACTGAGGAGGACCAGACAGCAGGTCTTCAATTGTTAATGACCCCTTTGAGCACGGCCTCCACAGCTGACTTGGTTGATCCAAGAGGGCAGGCTCTTGGCTGTACTTGGGTACTGACCAGCCCTTGCCCAGCCACCAGCAGGACCTCCTGAGATATCCCACCGTGCTCTGGACCACAGGGAGTCCTGGGGGGGCCTCTCCTGCCAGAGTGTGGCCAGGACCTTCTCGGCCCTGGAGATGGAGGCAGGGAGTGGGCCCTGATGCTGGTCCACAACAGAGACCCCGGCCTGTTGGCAGGAAGGTAGAGCCCAGCAGGCACCGCTGTCTGCTAAGGACTGGTAAAGGCCTTGTGAGGCTGACCGGGTGGGGACCCAGCCTGCTACTCACCCGGTGCCTAGAAGAGGAGGCTCTGCATCTGCACCTACCATGCCAACCCCTGCAGCAGCCACCTCCTCACTGCCGGGAATGAGGCATCCCAAATCCCGAGCTGCACATATAGCCACTTGTGCTTTCTGCCCAAATTCAGCCAGGCAGAGAGTCTGTAAAGATGGGTCTCCCCCAACCCCTCCCGGAGCCTTGGGTAAAGAAGCAGGTGCTTTCTCTGTTCCCTGCTCTTCCATACATTTGCCCACACAGAGCACTAAGGGGGACAGGGAAACAACATAAATTGGTCTGTCGTCCGGAATCCATGTCTCGCTAATGTACCCAGATTAACTCAACTGTAAATTGTCTCCTTGGATAGCGGTGTCTTGCTAAAAGTTTCCCATATGATTCATGATTTGGATTGCTTTTAACGGCTATTGGCTAAGCAAGCCGGTGACTGTACAAGGTGATGCAATTGGCATTAGCGAGGGGAGGCACGGGAGCGTGTAATGCAGTCAATACTGCATTAACTACTGATGCCCAATTACAGGGAGTAGGAGAGAGCCTTTCAGGAGCATTAGGACTCGGGGAAGCTGAGATCACTGGCTGCTGCTCGCCTAAAAGCTTCACCCTTTGTGTGCCGGGGTTCGGCGCTGTCGTGGCCCCTCACTTGGCCTCTGTGGCTGAGGGAGCTGACTTTCTCTCTTGCCGTCTCTCTTACTCTCTCTGAACATGTCCCACAAAGATGCTTTTAGCACATGGAAATATGCATTTTCCTAGAGCTGAGGCCTGCCTCTCATCCCTCCTGAGAATTGATTCTCCATCCCACCCTATGTCCCAGAGTCAGAGGAGGTGGCTGCCCCACCCACTTCCATTTAAGGAGCCTCTGAGCAGACCTCATTGGTGAGCAGGACCAAGAGGAGGTCTATTTTGGTCTCTCTCCCTTGGAACAGATGGATGATTTTTAGCGAACATGGGGGGCCAACCCTCATGGTCATGGGTGAAGGAGACATGAGGTTCAGATTTGGCGCAGCTGGGCTGCCGGCGCAAGGTTGCTGGAGTTGGGAAGTGGTGGTGGTTGGATGGATTGGGCCTTCTTTGAGCAGAAGACAGAGCTGGGGAGGTTGTTGGGGGTGTGGCCCAAGCCATGTTGGGGTCCTCAGCAGATGCAGGCCCCCTCTAGAACTA